ATGCTATCAATAAACCTTTGAAAGTCTGAGCAGCATTTCGCAAACCAAAAGGCATACGTAGGAACTCAAGCAAACCCAAAGGAGTCGTGACAGGATCTTTTTCAACGTCTTCAGGAGTGACTGGGATTTAGTGGTATGCCCGCACCAAATCTATTTTCAAAAAGATAGTCGAACCATGAAATGACACGGTGATGTCGTGTATGTGGGGAACAAGGTAGCTATCGAAACAAGTAACCGCGTTAAGTGTCACATGGTCGTTAGCTAATGCCGTTCTTTTTAAGAACCATGTCTAAAGGAGGTGCCCATGGACTGTGAGAAGGATGAACAATGCCTTTCATAAGCAAAGTGTCGAACTCACGCTTAGCAAAAGCTAATTTGTCCGGTGCCAGTCGGCGAGGTCGTGTCGTGACTGGTGGTCCGTTAGCCACTATGTGGTGAGCCACACAATCTGCCACTAGGCTGATCTCAATAGGTTTAGTCAAATTGGGGAAGCATTCCATTAACGGGTGGAACGAGTCGAGCGAATCAGGTATGCTCCCTGTGATTCGGTAACCGTCTGTGCGAGATTTTAGTCCAGTGACATTATTGTTCGACGAAGTATCAACCAACCGCAGTCTACGTGAGTCAACGAGTAACTCGTAGAACTGCAGAAAATCGATACTGAGGATACCTGTAGTAGAAAAGAATGAACGTCCACAGATACCATCGTCGAGGCCTAAGGTTAACCTCTGGTCGTCATGCACCGTAAGTAAGAATGGGGATGCCATTTTCAGCGCACAACCGAAGTTGGGAAGCACGAGGCTGTGATAGAAATTTAGGCTTTCTTATCAACGAGAAATCCAGTGAATGTATAATAATCTTGCACGTAAAATGGGCGGACGTAAGTGCAAGGGGGCTTACATCTGCAGGCAACTGGTCCATAAATTTTATGGAACCAGCAATACACGTCCCTACCTGATTTTGAGGGTTTAGGCTTAAAAAGTTGGGTCGAGCGGAGGGTGGGCTTTCCAACCGGGCCATGATTATCTACGACTGAAGCTACCCTATCGAGCGAGGTATCTTCTAGGAGGGCTGTTACCATGGTCTGGACATGGACCGGTAAAGACTCAATCCATAGCTTCCTGAAGATATCCGAATGGGTATCGTGGGGTCCAACGGGGGATCTTAATGATTATTGAACAATCCATGTGTCCAGACAAACCTAGCCTACTTAGAGCCGCCATGTTCATTGACTCCACTGCGGTCGAAATTCTCAGACGTGAAGAAAATTCATATAATGCTGTCGCTTTTAACATACCCGACTGGTTGCCTATCACAATTGTCAAAAATACTATTCTTGAGGTCTGCGACAGGGCGCACCACGTCTGCCTCTGCACCCGGTTGCGCAAGAATACTCAGCGCAACCACNATTAAAATCTTTCCCGATAGAACACCATTGCAGGGGGAGATTGCTAGATCCGTGAAGAATAATCCACCATGTCCTAACGGCCCAATCCATCCCCCTCTTTTATCGGGCAGGCCAACTCACTCAACGCTCCCTGCGGATCCACCCCGCCTGCAGATAAACCCAAATCTGCTGTCGGTGGATCTTGAAAAAACTGCCTCCCCGACTCAATGGCAACCTCCTTGTAAATGCCCACATCTGGATTTAGCCACTCCCCGGTCGATCAGCTCACCAGGGGGAACGACAAATTCTCCCGACCCAGTCTCTCTCCATCTAGCCTCGCCGACTAGGACAGCCGCCCGTCCTTCCACTCAGCGCTC